AAGTTTATATGATTAGTGAGAAGCAAGAATTTTGTGTCAATGAACGATTTCTTAAGAGTAAGGGGAATAGGACTACAACACTCTAGAATACAAGTTCTTCGTTGACGGTTTGAAAATTATGGGTTTATCAAAAAAATGTATTGGAAGATTGCCAGAACATCATGTAAATCCACAAGATATTTTACTTGGAAATTTAAAATGGGAGTCTCTGAGATGCAAGCGTTCAATATTTTGTACAAACATTACCTAACTAGTACTCTTTCTGTAACATTTTCCGACTTATCTCATTCCATAGGAATCAATAATAGTGAAGATGCCACTGGTATTCGGAGTTTTACAACGCTTTAACCAGTAACACCTTATAATATGAAGCGTACCCACCAAGTGAAATCAAAGGACAGAAGCGAGGAGGTTCGAAGATATATTTGATAGGCTATCAATGTATCGAGGATCGTCTGATCTAATCTGGCTAGCGGTTGCAGTAGATGTTGAGCCCGGCGTTCCCACACGTGATCTGGTGGGGATGCACGACCGAGCGCCTTCAGCTAGATGAGTCCATTAAAACTGTGGTCAGCACCCAATGTCGAAAACTTACAGAGCTATTTATTCTGTGGATTTATTTACCGGTACAATAATATTTCACTATTTTAGTTCGCAAATCATAGCAGTTTAAAATAAAAAATGATTATTAAGGTTAGATTAGACACGCGCGCTTTTGTTCAGTCGAAATACAAATTGGTTGTTTGGGTAAAGAGTAGTTCTAAATATTTTTAGAAATTTAAATATACAGTGATACCCAAACAAACATTATTACCTGGTTATCCAACCAATAATTGTTACCCAATAATTAAATATTAATTACATTAGGTAGACAAACTGACAAAGAATATAAGATAGTCGCTAGTTTGAACAAGTAAACGTTTCTAATTATATGAGAATATTGTTTTTTTCTTTCTAAATCGACTACCTACTGTTTCTTTGAAAAGAAGTACTCAGTTTTAAAGAAAATGTTAAAATTAAAGTGTGATAATTGGGAGTATATGAATTATGGTACAAACTAGTTGTCCCAGAAATAACGCAATTAAATCAAGAAGTACTAGATAAGCACGAACGAATGTACTATATTTGGAATTCGAAATCCGGCATTCAACAAGTACAAAGGAATCAGTAGTTCATTCAAACACCATACAAAAGTATCAAGAATTTGTGGTGTTTATATGAACTTCTAATTCCTTTGTACTTGTTGAAAAATGGACTTCGAATTCCAAATACAGTACATTCTTTCGTGCTTATCTAGTACTTCTTGATTTAATTGAGTTATTTCTGGGATTCCTGGTTTGTACAATAATTCATATACTCCTAATTATCATAGAATAACCTGTTATAACATATAGTGTTCCCAGTTCTGGAAGAGTTCTTCAATTTACAATCAAAAGGCACACAATCTCAGTTAGTTTAAGGAACAAAGTCAGAAAGAGAAGCAATTCAATATGGTAGGTGCCATAACATAATAAGCAAAAAAACGTATATGTAATTTATGTGAAGCAGATAAATTTACTAGAACCTTGGGAAAAACGGAATATAATATATATAAATAATATTACAATCTCAACTAGAATCAAAACCTCAATTAATTAAACAATTGAAGGGGTCAAGAAAAATAAATTACAAAAGTGTTATCATACAAAACTTCCTAAATTAACTTTACGAGTACATAGTGTTATAAGACGCTACAGTCAGAAAACTTTTCATAATCAATGATCTTGAAACAAAATAGGTCAAACGACAAGAATGAAGGACTTCTAAGATATATTTGGATAATAATCCATGTTTCAAATTATAAGTAACGACAACTAGTTGTCATAAGAAATGTACTTCTTCATATATCCACAGCAACCTGATAAGAATGGTTAGTCGAGGATTTTTATCTTGAAGAGTTTTTAACTTTCGAAACTCCTAGAGTGCTATATTTATCTCCTTCATTTACATCAGATATACGGCTGTAGACCCACCGAACAAAAAGTCTAGAGACACAGTTATTTAGTAATCAAGTGATACTATGGTGAACGAGAACACCACGGAGGACAAGCAAACGTATTTGGACACAAAATTACAGAATCTCTTAGTAAAATTTGAGAACCATACAGTAAATTGTTCGTTTTCAAAATGTCCATCAATTGTCTCAAACTTCATTGTTCCTTCGTTTCCATACTGATAACTATGCTGTCGTCCTATTTCCTTCGATCTTTTTGGCCTTCTGCCACTCGGCATTTCACTTTAGGCTGGTGATACATACTACTTATATCTGTAGATATCAGTAGCAAACACCACAATACCAGTGGAAAAAAATTGCGTGTGAGCATTACAGATATCTAAATAGTTTATAACCAGCTCTATACAGTAAAAATGTGTCCAAAAACGTCCATAAGTCAATTCAGTTTGCTGAGGGTAAGCACTCAAATAAGGAATGACAACTTTCTTAAAATTCGAGAATCCCACGTAAATTACTTGTTATGTCACTGAGACGAGTGATTATATTTCCTAACTCCTATCTTCTAGGGTTATTTATTTCACTGAATCAAATAGTAGCAATCAATCACAGTCAATAAATATAGCAATCAAACATACTGAGGAAGTCTTATGCATTTCTAGGTATATCGAGAAAATAAATTGTTTATTTGCTGACCGCGGATTTATTCTCTTAATAATTTTTGGTTTTATAAATACAAGATCGGAATAAATACTATTTTATTATCCATAAAACAGCTCAATGAATTTTGTTTACAAGTACAAAGAAAGTGACATCTACATCTACAGTGGCCAATACATGGACGGTCGTTACTTGGCTTATGAATATTATTCGTTTGTCTTTTCCAGTTGGCAGGACTAAACAAAACAAATATTGTGCAAAATACCGTCTCAGTGTCAGCCATCATGAATAACAGTTACTCACACAGAACAGCAATTATCTTCAGGCAATAATTTACAGAAAGTTGTACGGATTAATGACAATGATAAGTACTACGGTGTGCTACATATGCAGAATAATATAAGTAGTGTGTATCAGGAATTTGAAGTAGGATTTTTACTGACAGAAGCAACAGGAGTGGGAGAACAATGGAGCTTGTAAGAAATGACTCAAGGAAAATGTGTCTTGTTTTCATATTTCACAAGTGCAATGTGTGATTTCTTCAAAACAATACATTGATTTACTCTAACCAAGTCTTCATTTATTACAATAGCACCGTAACTTTTGATTGTTGAGCTCTTGTCGGCTTTTGCATTAACCACGATAAAAATTTGTACTCATCGAAAGAGCAGGAAACAGACGAACTAAAGTGGACAAACAATGGATTAGAAATCTGAATTTCGTACGAACGTCTTTTATCCGAACACTTTAATGTCTTTGATAACATGAATGAAAATTTTGGTAGATTTTTAGAATTTCACAATCACAAAACTGATTAACCACTAATTACTTGTACCCATTGTAGCTTAACTTAAAGAACCATGGAGATGAGTTTTATTCTCGCCTTTATACTGCTTATGTAGCTATGAACATATAAACACTCTTTGTTCCTGGTAAGTGATAAATTAGTAAGGTGGAAACTTATAAAATCTCGAAAATTACACGTCAGCAAGTGTGAATATATTAAATTTAATTTATTATATGTATTCAAAACATTGAGGGAAAGACTAGTTAAAGCAAACATATTTATCTAGCCTATTATAATTAACTTTTTCTTGGGAAAATGTGGAACAGCGGATATCACTTTAAAGGGGGAAAAAGTGGACTAATAGACTGAAATTGTAATAGGAATACTATCCACATGTATCAGAGCAACGAAAACAGGTAGATAAACATATAATCTATACGTTTAGTACATTTTAATGTTAGTAAACGGAGCAATCCATAAGGCCTATCTCGTACATTTGAAACGTATTAGCTGGATGTATATTAGTCCCTGTGGTGATATTCACACTAAGAATTGAACCTGAGACCTGCCACTGTTAATGTCAACGCTTTGCTCACTAAACTAGAGAGACCATATGGCCACTAACTTGTTAATCGCGCATAGTGTTTATTCGCAAGTGTTGATATTGTCATATTGTCAATGGGCAGGACTGAATTTTTATTAGTTTTTGTTGGCATATGTTAACCTTGAGTGAATACTAAGAAAGACTAGTCAAAATCTAGTTCCGAATGTTAGAAATAGAATATAACAAATCATTGAGACTTACAATCTAAAGTATTGACTTTTAATTTTATTAAATTTCTAAGTGACTGGGAACGGATGAGTACTGTTTTGATGGAGATATGTTCATCTTTCAGACCTATAATTACTGCTTCAATGTTGTAGATGAATTTTCACAAAACTAAATAACTGAAGTCTGGATGAGTTACTGGATGTTCATAATAAACGTGAATGGGTCACAGAACTATAGGTGAACGAACGTTACTGGGTATCGTGGGATTGTATTTGCTCTCTTGTGGATTAAAACTTGACCTAAAATAATAGTGGGTTGTCTCCCTAGAAAACTGTTGTGTGGGCGAGAACGATCGTGATTGGTTGTCTGCTTAGTCAGACATGTAGACAGTCTGACGGGTGTCAGATAAGTTATATATTCCCTTACCCTTATTATTGTGACACACTCTTATATACATCTTATTAATGATTATTCATTGTTGTGGATTGTGTCGGGTTTTTGGGTGTGAAATATATTACGTTCTGGTCAGGCTGATTACGTGTTCTTGATCTGAGTTGTGTTGAAGTCCTGTAGGATAGACACTGGGAGGGATCTAGTGTAGATAATCGTTAAGCGTTACAACACCAGACAAAGTAATACCGAGCGTTATAACAATCGACGACGGAACGTTATAACAAAAACCGAATTCCCCGGCTTCAGTGTCTGTGATTTATCCTGATGTATTAGTACTGGGATGCAGAAATAAAGGTGGGGCGTGATTAGAGTCGGTAGACCTAAGAATGCAAGTGAGTTAGATGTTTTGATATTTAAGCTAATGGACAATGAATCAATGCCTAATACAAGTTAAATACTAAAACAGTAAAGAGGGTCTATTTGTTTTAAAAAATTTGTTACATAAATAAATACATAGAAAAATAGAACAGAAATGGTTTCTGAAACAAAAATAAACAATTGGTATATTGGCACACAATGCAATACGGCCCTGAAACGTTATGGTTTTTTTAAGAGCAGCCTAATAGGAAATTATGACAACTTTATATCATCGGTTAGGAAGTCGGCGAATCCTAAAAGAAAAAGAAACAGGAATTTTCAGAAAATTCAAATAATAAATTAAGTCACACTAAGTAAATATTAAGAATGACTGAAACAATGATAAAGTGATACTTTTAACTTACCTTGATTTCTATAACATCTCTTTCCTCAAATTTATAAGATCTAAGATCTGTTGGGCGGAAATCAGAGTCATTTGGTAAATTTTTTGAAATCTGAGAGTTATCTGTTCTACTGTTATTAGTTATATTCCCATCACTGAAAGAAACCAATGTAGTTAACTGTACACGTCGTTTTTGTTTGGATACAGTTGTGGCACTATCGACAACAATGGGATTATTATTAATGCTGAAATGTAGATTGTTAAATGGTGTATAAGAAAGTTAAAAATTCAATATATTTAAAAAGATCAGTCATTAAGTTATTAAATTGATAATTTTAATGTCCGATAAAAATGGATTGTTTACGAGGAAAGGATAACGCCCAATTAATAGTGATGAAATATATCTTCTTTAAATCACACATTATAATTATCATATCAATTTAAAGCAAGGTTTTAATCCATTACAGAAAACTGAACAAAAGTGTACTTTTAAAAGATAGTAATTACAGACTTTAAAACATAAACTCAAAATTACACCTCATTCGTAATTCACAAATTTATCAAAATGTTTGATAGCTTAATCACACAAGTAATCAACAATAATAATATCATTAACATAATGATTATAATTATAAGCAAAGATGGATGGTGTCTAACGGTGGAATCCAGGACGCGCGTTTCGTCCTATTTGCCACTCATCAGACGGATGTACCTGCATACCATAGTTAATGTCCGCTCCTGGATATCACTGTTAGCCGCCACCCATCTTTGCTTATAATGCTTGTGACGTAAGGCCATATTGAGGAAATACGCACAGGATTCACACAAGCCAATAAGAGACTGGTTAACAGGAAGATTCAAACAAACAATACAGAAAGGGAATAATGATTATCGAATTCATGAGTCGATCTAAGCTAGACCACCATTGAAAACCTGAAAGTATCAGACGGTCATTTCGTCCCAGTCCGGACCTCCTCAACAGTGTGCACCCATCATCCCGAATGACTTAAACCCAGGACCTTCGGTCTCATGCGCGAACGCTTAACCTCAAAACCACTGAGTCGGCACCCAACGGTGTTAATGTCCAATTTCAACCAATCCACGATATTGAGCGATCATCTTCCATTGTCCAAGTTAGGTACCTGTCTCACACCCGACACGGATTGTACTCCATTGGTCACAGCTTCTCACTAGAATTACAGGAGATCCATCTTGACGCCAGTCACTAGTAAACACATGATTATTATTATCAGGACGAGGTTTTGTAGAGATTGTACTAATTTTAGTAGTTGGATTCATGGTCTAATAGAAAGGCAAAACAATTGGCTAAACTAAGTGTACATACAAGTAAGATTTGATGGGAGATTGATTAAACTCAAAATATATAGCTTCTATTATTTTAGAAATAAGAAATTATGGCAATAAAAAAGAATGCACAGTTGATTGATAAAAACAATATATTTACCTTGATTCTGATGACTTTGTTTCGGTGGTTGGTTTATTTAAGTCAGGAACTGTGGCAGATGAAGCATTAGATTTTGGAGGATTGTTTGTTTCCTTGAAAGCGTCGTTAACGGTATCTCCTACAACGGATGATAACATTTCAACTTCATTACTCTGACACTTATCTGTTTCACTAACAGCATTCTCGATTGAGATAGCTGGTGGATTAGGTGCACCAAACGTACCACGATAAAATGCGCCAAGTTCACCATGAGCGAAATGAATCAGAGAGCAATAACCATCAGTAGAACAGATTACAACTAAATGCCCGTCTTTAGACCATGATGCATCATTTAAAGCTTGATAATGAAGCTGAGAAACCTGAAATACACAAAAATATTTTGACTGACAGCATACAAGCTAGTAATTAAGTATAAATTATTCTGATGAACAAAATTTGAGCTGTATTGACTGAACAAGATGACAGTCCGTGGTGAAAGCTACCTTCGAACCAAACAATTTTCATCACAAAACACCTAAGTAAGTTATTAATATTATTTGAGTAGTCATACATAACAGTTAGACAAAATATTAACATGTAAGTGTATATGCACATCTATAGTTAATAGATTATTTATTTTATTTTTATTTTAACACATAGATATTGGTACAAGGAGGCACCAAATACATATGCATCACATAAATCTCATTTGATATATGTGAGGGCTGTGATACTGCTCGGGTGTCCAAACCGGAGCAGGTGGTTTTCTTAGGAGACCACACCCCGAGCCTATGACTTAAAGGTCTAATCTACAAGGCAGTGAAGTATCGTGAGGAGATGCAGTCCCATGGAAGCCGGTGACCAAGAAATTGGTTCATACGCTATTTTTTCCCGCAGGATACTGGAGCCCATGTGCACCATTGGTTTGGAATCCGGTTAAAGCGCCGGATATTTGCTTTTCGTCCTCTCATTTTCGTAAACAACACCCCCTCTACGTGAAGGCAGTGAGTAGGACTTCCATGGAAGAGGCTATATACGCGTTGCCATGTGAGAGCATTACGAGAGGGAGAGCGGACTCTCCCCACTCTCGGCCGTACCAGGGCATTTGGGGGCAGTTAATAGATATCCTAATGCGAATCGCTATCTTAATGACCAACATGGTACAACGTAGCAATAAGTTCTACAAATTTTATTTTATATAAACCGGTTATAAATGCTTTTGAAAGCAAACTTTAATTAGGATATGCCAACCTGCAAGTCAATATATTAAAGAGTGAGATTTTCAGTTGAATACACACTCTTTTAATATGTTATTCATGTATCTTGAGAACAAACAGATTCTTGAATTGGACTGAGATCAGTGGGATCGAACCGTTTATTATTAGGGCAGTTTAATTATGTACGTTGATTGTTGACTTATTTGTTTATATTGACTGTAGCATCAGCGAATTTTTCTTTATATAATAACATAAAAACCATCTCCTAACTACTGACTTAGTCATCGTGGATAATAGTGAATGGTCTACAAACTCCTTCCAGTCAGAAGATAAAAATGAAAAACAGACTAATTCTCTATTGTACTCTATTAATTCATGACTCAAAACTTATACAGCAATACACCTTAAATATTTGACCGCACAGCAACACAATTATTAGTCATTCAGGTTATACTTAACACAGAACCAGGTACAACCCAGTTAATAAGTTACATTGTATATACGACTCAGTCATAAGTGATACAAAAACGAAGCAACAGAGAAATAATTAATTAATCAATTATAAGTCTGACACTGTAAGACACATAACAAAGATATATAGGTCAAACAGAAACATACATAGAATATACAAATAAGCATCTAATCAGTATGCAATAAAAATATAAATAAATCTCAGTAGGATACTTCTGAAAGTTCAACGTTTCTCAAAACCTCCTCCATATGACAGTCAGTCAACAATCCTTTAATACAAACATATTTTATCTTTTGATTCCTAATACTCATAATGTAAAGTTGTGTACAATACAAAACTCGTGTTTTTTTTTACAAGTATAGTGGAGTAAAATGGTCATAGGCTGTAAGAAAATCTAATCATTACAGTATTTGTAACAGTGACCTCAAAAAAAAGATTAAGATGTTATTTTGGTAACAAAGTTATTTATGTCGACTGTTGACAAAGTCCTAATTTTGATTTAGTCATAGATTTTTAAATCTTTCTGATTGCTAAGTGAATGGCCATTAATATATGAACATATGTAACTAGAAATGGTCGATTATAAATTAATGTAAGTAACAGCAATTAATATACTTGTACGATAGATTTTGATCAAGCTTTTTTTTGGAAAAATTTATGCTAAAAACAAGTGATGAATATAGCAAACACAACATACGACGGCCATGCAATTTTATTAAAAAGACAAATAATTATTAAACAGTATGAAATTATGCATACCTGAGCAAATGGTACAGTTTGTTGAGTATCATAAAAAAGAACACTATCCTCTAATACTAAGCAAAATAGCCACCGATATGCAAGATTAAACAGGCTAGTATATTGATTTGTTGCATTCTGATAGTTTGAGTTAACCTGTCTTAATTGGAATGGTTGAGGACAAAAGCGAACTGCAACAACTGGCTTAGAACCTGTTGGTAAACTGACTACAGGACGAGTGAAATTTGAACGTACAAAAATATGAGCAGCATGTTGAGGAGCAACTGGTGGAATGGTAGTATCTACTATTTTATCTGGCTGTTCAAATCCATTGGTTGAAGAAATAGTTGAATTAGTTAATCCAGCAAATGTAGCCTCTTCAAGATTACCAGATGGACAAACAAGAAGTAAACCATCCGGACTAAAAGTAAGACGTCGAAAAAACGACTTCCAAGAATCATCCTATGAAATAAATAAACGTAAATAATAAATTAAAGTGAAAACTCCACACACTTGAAACAGCGGATCCAGTCAATACATATTGATCGACTATCATAGATCTACTTTAATCAGAAATATAATATGGAATGGTATAATGATACAAGTGAACGGAGACGGAAAATGAAAAAATATCTACGATGGTTACATGGAAAAAATCTTCCTAACGACTTCTTTCAATTACCCATCGATGGAGTATATAACTACATTAAAATCGATGCATATAATGTAACCCTTAAATATAATACTTAAATCAAAGTACAAAAATATTGAGACTGGAAAGACAACAACTACTGCTATCATTAATTTAGATAAACTAGAAAGGAAAGACATTATTTCTGTCCTTAAGTGATAGGTAATAAGCAACTTTACTACCAATCATTTTCTAGTGACTTATGAGAATTTACACGAAATAGTATGATTTAATAAAAAAAAATCAATGGGAATAGGCTAAATGGGAATGATAATAAAATCCCACTCAAAAGTGATTAGTTTGTGATAGTGTTTCTGATTTAGGGTAAGGAAAACAACATTACTCAATTGTTGAATTCTAAATAATTCTAAATAATATACACATATGGTCATACATCAGGTCTTACATTGTCAATTAATCCTGTTAGAACTAACTAACCATAAAACTACAAGCGATTGTTTAACCCAGATAAAGGGAAAACGAAATTTAATTACAGGGGAAATTTTTGTTCTACGATAAAAAAGTGATTAAGACAAATCGATGACCATTATTTCGTATAATATCACCTAGGATGTTTTCAACGAAATAACGAAGAAACTCTATAAGAAATAATTCGGAAAAATCAACAGATTACTGATATTAGCTAAAGAACTGGTTACAATGTTAACTGTTCCTTGTAAAATATCACTTAGGAAATTACTATATACTACTACTAATTACTAAAATAACACTTTCAGCTAATATTTCCACTAGAACTTAATTATTTCCTACAGATGTTTAGACTTGGATACAAACGATTGCTTTAGCATTTCTGTACCATTCTCACGTTTAAGTTAACTAGAGGAGTTAAGCAGATGACCGATTGGATCAGATGAAAGATTCTTTTATTTGTCTAGTTCAGGAGAAAATATTCTTTCGCTAAATAAACATTCTTTAATTTGTAAGATTTAAATAAAAGATTATGAAATGACTAGAAGAAAATCAAACAGTGAGATAAAATTAGAATAAGTCTGTTGAACTACTTGTAAGTAGCAAATAAACAGGTATGTACCTAATTCATTTTATATCACGTATATGTCAACTGAAAAAGGGTGCCTCATTCCATTATTTGATATTGACTTGGAATAAGAAAAACAGAAATCGTATCTATTTAACTAGTTTAGCCAGTGTGGCTAAACTAGTTAAAAAAAGAGTAGAACTCCATGATTATTTATAGGAAATTATAAATAAAAACTATATAATCATATGCGTAGAATACGAGAAGAGTACAACGCGTCATGAATAATGTTTCTAAACATGTAACATTTGTGATATATATATATATATATATATATATATATATATATAAACATTGTGGTAAACAATAGTGGTAAACAATGAGGTATACTTTCTCTTTTTACTTGGATCACTTGCATGATGTCAGATTGCCCCAAAATACCATGGTATGGCCGAGAATGGGCTGGGTTCGCCATCCCTCTCGAAATACTCTCACATGGCAACGCGTATATAGCCTCTTCCATGGAAGTCCTACTCACTGCCTTCACGTAGAGGAGGTGTTGTTTACGAAAATGAGAGGACGAAAAGCAAATATCCGGCGCTTTAACCGGATTCCAAACCAATGGTGCACATGGGCTCCAGTATCCTGCGGGAAAAAATAGCGTATGAACCAATTTCTTGGTCACCGGCTTCCATGGGACTGCATCTCCTCACGATACTTCACTGCCTTGTAGATTAGACCTTTAAGTCATAGGCTCGGGGTGTGGTCTCCTAAGAAAACCACCTACTTCAGTCTGGGCACCAGGGCAGTATCTCAGCCTACACACAAAAACATGATGAACTATTTACTTACGGAAAATATTCCTTTCACACCGATTAACGATGAAATGACTCGCACTATTATTATTATTATTATTATTATTATTATTATTATTGACTATGTCATTTATTCACTCTCTCTTATTCCCACTTTATGTATCCTTATTTTTCGACGTATACAGCAGCTCGCCTATGGTGGAAATTCGGTTCTATCTAAACGTTCTCGAGTCACTGAATGGTTGCAAATTGTTTGTTACCACCGAATACGAGTACTGAAGCAGTTTTTATGAAACCACGTGCACCATTCAAACTGGCTGTCTTCAACGTTCACACACTTATGCAGGTCGGACAACAGATAGGGCTGGCTATGTTTTTGGAAAGTCTTAATATTGACGTTTGTTGTCTATCCGAGACCCGTATTCGACACTCTGGTGAAGTACTACAAGTTCGCTTTCCATCTGTCGCTTCAAAAAGCTTGTTTTACGTGCGTTTATTCGGAGACCCTGTGGCGTCTTCGTCTGGTCTTGCTGGCGTTGTTGTCGCACTAAGCGCTAAAGCTGAGGCAGCACTAGTCGACTGGATCCCCATTAACAGTCGGTTATGTGCTGTTAGATTAGAAAGTTCCATCAAAGTGGAAGAAATCGGCGTGAGAAACGATGTCTTTTCGTCACCTGCACCTATGCTCCGACAGATTGCAGCCCGGATGCAATCAAGGACGAGTTCTACCACCAGCTAACTGTTCTTCTCCAGAAAGTGCGTTCGACAGATATTGTAGTACTAGCTGGAGACTTGAATGCTCAGGTCGGGCGTCTAGGCACAGAAGAGAGTCGTTTAGGTGGCCGATGGGGACTTGTTGGTCGCAGGACAGATAACGGGGACCGTCTACTGCAACTGTGCACAGACCACAACCTGTTTCTGGTTAGCACTAACTTTCGGCACAGTCATCGCCGATGTGCCACCTGGCATCCTTCCTCAATATGTCAAGCCTGGACTCAGATTGATCACATCGCGATCAGCTATCGCTGGCGTGGTTGTGTACAAGACTGCCGCTCTTTTTCGAGTACCTATCTGGAATCTGATCATGTCCTGGACTGCGCCAATCTTACCTTACTTTTCAGTGGCCATCGAAGTGACCACCACCAAAGGATTGATGTTAGCAAGTTGGTTGCAATTTATGTTGCTAGTAAGTACCGAACCGAGCTAGCTTCTAGGCTAGCTACGATTCCACCGAAAAGTATAGATGAGCATTGGTTGCAATTGCATGACACCATGAAAATGGCGGGTACAGTCAGTTGTGGGTTCACGAAACGTCCCGCTTACGAGCACTGGGTTTCTTCATGCTACTTACAACCCATTGAAGCCTGTCGATCTACTGCAGGTGACCATGCGTTCGACCATAAACGAAGGATGTTACGTATTGAAATTGGGCAAAGCTTGCGTAAGGACCGAGAGGCCTAGTGGTCGGAGCGTGCTAATGAGCTGGAAGCAGCAGCTGCATCTGGTAATTACCGGAAGCTCTTCCAACTCATCCGAGCCACTGGCAGCAAGAAGTCTGGTGTGAGCGAAACAATCTGCGAGGATGACGGGATGCCAATCACTAACATCCATCGACGTCTTGGACGATGGGCAGAATTCTTCGAAGAGCAGTTCAACTGGCCTGCTGCTCCGGCAACATCGGTCAGACTGTCCTGCCCTCCATGGCCGGTGAAGACTGATCCACCAAATGAAGCGGAAGTCCGCAAGTAACTCCAACTCTTGAAACGCTACAAATAATCATGCCCAGATGACTTACCTCCGGCTCTTTTTAAAGATGGTGGTGACTTCCTGGCTAAGGAACTGACTGTGTTGTTTACAAAGGTCTGGGAACTAGAGAGTATACCAACGTCATGGAATGAGCCTGTAGTTGTCCCTATCTTTAAAAAGGGTTCACGTCGTTTCTGTAACAACTATCGGGGGATAAGTCTACTTCTGATTGCGTCCAAGCTATTGGCTTCCGTTATACTTCGTAGGTTGTTCGAAACCCTAGAAAGATTGATTCGCGAGGAGCAGGCTGGGTTTTGTTCTGGTTGAGGATGTATTGATCATATCTCTACTATCCGCTAAATGTTGGAACACTGCCATACTTATGAAAGGCCAACAATCGTAGTGTTTCTTGATATCAGGGCTGCCTTCGATTCGTTGGACAGGACTGTTCTCTGGGATTGTCTATTGAAGAAGGGTGTGCCTGAGAAGTTTATTAACATCCTAAAGGCCCTATACACAAACACCTCAGGCAGAGTGAGGGCATACAACCACCTTTTTCCATTATTCCATTCGAGCAGTGGGGTTAGGCAGGGTTGCCCAATCTCAACATTCCTCTTCAACTTTGCCATCAATGAGATTCTGGCAACAGCTCTGATGTATGCAAGTAATGGTGGTGTGAATCTGTTGCCTGGAGAAAGACTTCTCGACCTTGAGTATGCGGATGATATTGTCTCACAGTGCGAGAATGCCCAAGCCATGCAATCCGCACTTAATCAGTTGGCAATCAATGTCCGTAGGTATGGTGCCTTGCACCTTCAAAGTGCAAAGTACTTCTACAAGACTGGCAGGATTCTAATCCTGTACTCACTCTGGATGGTGAGCAGATAGAAGTAGTCGAGAAGTTCGTGTATCTAGGTAGCTGCATAAGTGATGGTGGTGGGTGGTGTGAGTGATGAGATCAATGCACGTATAGTGAAAGCCAGAGCGGCTTATGCCAATCTGCGCCATCTTTGGCGCCTTCGTGATGTTAGTCTGGCTGTAAAAGGTCGGATCTACAACGCGTCAGTGAGAACAGTTTCGCTCTATGCTTGTGAAACCTGGCCTCTCCAAGCTGAGGATGTTAGACGACTCTCTGTGTTCGATCATCGTTGTCTCGAAAGGATTGCTGACATTCAGTGGCAACACCATGTTAGTAATGCAGAGGTTCGACATCGTGTGTTCGGGCACAGAGACGATAATCTAACTGGTGTCACCATCTTGAAACACCGACTTCGGTGGCTTGGACATGTTCTACGAATGTCGTCCCAGAGAATTCCTCGTCGTGCATTATTTGCCGATTCTGAGACTGGTTGGAAAAAGCGGAGAGGTGGTCAGTATATGACATGGTGTCGTGGTATGAAAGGAAGCTGCAAAGGGCTGGCTTGTGTTGGTTCTTTCACAACTCCTCGGCTGTGGTCCGAGAGATGGTGTAACACAGTGGTTAGAGACGTCATCAGATATGGCTCAGAATAGAAGCCAGTGGCGATCCTGCTGTAACCTTCTTTTACTTTCTTTATAAAAAGCGGTTGCTTCTTCCTTAACTGAAAGATTTCTTCTGATTGTACCTTCTGTTTCACCCATTATTGTTCTCTCTCTTTTTTTTATAACTCCCTACCTTCATTACTTTTTTCCCCTCTCTTTAAATTCTCATTGTTTTGTGTGGCGCATATATATTTGATTCCCCCTTGTAGCAATATCTATGTGTTGAAATAAATATATAAATAAATAAATAATGTCAGATTAACTAGTATGTTTCGATAATGTAATAAGACGGAGATTATCAGATAATCTCCATCTTATTACATTATCGAAATTTATCAAAGGGACTAATTGCTTTAACTAGTATGTATTTTAAAATTTATTCATAACAAAGTGCATATGATGAACGTACTTGAAATAAACGTTGTTTTCCAGCTTTAGACACATGTGCTAAACAATTTTTAGTTCCAGCATGATATATTCGACAAGCTCGATCACTGCTTAAACTGGCGACATAAAATCCTAATGGGTCCCAAGCAACACCTTGTACATAATGTTTGTGATCACGTAGAATTAAGGTCTTGATTGTAGCCAGACTGGTATTTGTACTTAAGGCAGGTGCATTCTCAGGTCGATTAGAATGATTGTTCTCTGGACCCACTTCCGCAACACTGCTGATATCTTCAGCTGGCAGAGCAGATGACGGTGATGGAATTAAGTCAAGGTGCCAAACTATGACTGAATGATCAACAGACCCGGATATAAGTGCACGTTCATCTGGAGACCAACAAACATCGTAGATATCTTCTAAATGACGCCTAATTCCAAAGAAATACACAATATACATTTTAGATATGACGGAAGACGATAGGTAAAATATTTTTCGATCACAAAGGGAATGTTCATAGAATAACTCTAACACTCGGTATAAGTAATGTTTCTTGTAAATGATTGAGAAAAAACATTTGCTTCAATACATTAACAGCTAAAACGCACACCTGATGTTTGCTTGATGAATATATTAAACGACAAATCAATTCCATTTTTTAAAGAAACTCATACAATAATAAGGGATGGTAGGTACAAATGAAATCTCTAATCAATCATATTAATTACAGAAGATTTGTTTCAATCGTCTGAAAATGTACCACGCTTTTAGTACGACGTTTGATCAGTGATAGATTATGTTGTTTTGCAGAAAGTGAGAAAAAAGTCAACTACTTATGAGTAAACATTAAGGAGGGAAATTATATTTGTAAAACTTTCAGCGGTTAAATTTCAAGTGAATTCAACATTTCGTTCAGTTATCTGGTTCAAGCTTTTTCAAGGAAATATAATAAAACATCAAAATTATCGAATATAAATAAGTATATGGTTCTCCAGTTAATTATTAATAAACAGGTCATCCAGTCATCTAACAATGTTGAAAGTAAGAATTTGTTGCAGTGAGTATGAGACATTTAAGGTGTGTAAAGAAAAGTGTGTGAAGTTGCATGTATATGTAAGTGGATGAGGTGTGAGAAAAAAAAGCTTCCATTGAATATATATCGCCTCTGATCTGTTAATTTTTGATGAAAACATACAATTTTATAGGTGATATGAGTTAAACATATTACAGCAAGAATAAAGTGAAGATAATTAAAGAAAATTAAAACAAATATTTGTGCTAATTTTTTGATCAAGTTAATTGTTCATGTATTTAGAAAAACCAACTGATTATAAGAGTAAACGTTGTCGATCAGATAATAATACACAAAATGCGGTAAAATGTAATAAGGAGTTTCGGTTTATTTAATAATTATTAGTGGTTATGGGATAGTTAATTGTATTTCATCTCTTCCATTAATACTGCTTAAATTTGTTTACATGAGTAGCACTTCAGCTGTTAGTTCCTCTTTGAACTAATTAGAACTTTTATGAAGGATTATTGAAATCACTTGTATGATATGACCTGATTGAGTGTAATGTTATCGCTGACTTGTTTTCTAGTTCTTTTTTTAGCTCATCTGAAGGTTCAGGAATGTGCTTGAAGCAAAGTTTGTGTTCCTTTACCTTCACATTCAGTAACCATTATGCCTCGCCTACATATATAGCATTCTCTTTTACTCATGGATAACTCCGCTTGTAGCTCTCCTAGAGTTACTGCCGGTCCTAAGCCCGGGTAAAGGAGGAGGGTTGGGCATGGGGTTAGCGACCCCATCCCGTAGAAAACTAACTCGCTAAAAAAACGCTAACCAGAAAAAATAACTCAAACCATTTAAACTCTGCCCTGGGAGTTAGGTCTTCATTTAGAAGAAATAAGACGCCTTAAGATGAAAGCCGAGTTCCTTCGAAGGCCGATGCCCCTTCTAACAACCGGAGCAACAATCTTTATAGGTACATGGAACGTCCAGACAATGTGGGAGACCGGGAAGACCAGTCAAATAGCAACTGAAATGAGGAGATACAACTTGGAAGTACTCGGAATCAGCGAAACCCATTGGACCCAAGCTGGACAACAAAGGCTAAATACGGGAGAGATGCTACTATACTCCGGTCACGAAGAGGAAAATGCCCCACACACTCAGGGAGTTGCTCTAATGCTGTCCAACGTAGCACAAAATGCACTTGTAGGATGGGAATCTCACGGATCCAGAATCATCAAAGCATCATTCAAAACACAGAAGGAGGGGATCACAATGAACATTATACAATGTTATGCACCCACAAATGATAGCAACGACGACGTTAAAGATCAATTCTATGAGAGCCTGCAACAAATCATAGAGAAGTGCCCAAGAAAGGACCTCACCATTCTGATGGGAGATCTAAACGCCAAAGTCGGAATAGACAACACCGGATATGAAGATATCATGGGACTGCATGGACTGGGAGAGAGGAATGAAAACGGGGAAATATTTGTAAATCTGTGTGCATTCAACAAATTGGTCATAGGCGGCACAATATTTCCACACAAACGTATACACAAAGCTACATGGATCTCACCGGACCACACCACACCACAGAGAACCAGATAGATCATATTTGCATCAATAAGAAGTTCCGAAGGACAATGGAAGATGTGAGAACCAGGAGAGGAGCGGACATAGCTCCAGATCACCACCTGGTTGTGGCCAAACTGAAACTGAAGCTAAAGAAGGACTGGACAACTGGACAAACAGCGCTGCAAAGGTTCAATACAGCCTTCCTTCGAGATACTGACAAACTCAATGAATTCAAGATAGCTCTCAACAAAAGGTTTCAAGCTCTACAGGATCTACTGAAGGAAAGAGAAACTACTATGGAGGATAACTGGAAAGGTATCGAATAAGCACTAACTTCGACGTGTCAAGAGGTTCTAGGCCCCAAGAAACATCATCACAAGGAATGGATCTCTATAGAAACACTGGACAGGATCAAAGAAAGGAAGAACAAGTAGACAGCAATTAACAATAGTCGAACACGAGCAGAGAAAGTCCAAGCACAAGCTGAGTACATAGAAGCAAACAAGAAAGTGAAGAAGAGCATTAGAGCTGATAAGCAAAAATACGTGGAAGAACTAGCAACGACGGCGGAGAAAGCTGCAAGAGAAGGAAATATGAAACAGCTTTACGATACAACGAAGAAACTAGCAGGGAAATACAGTAAACCAGAGAGACCAGCCAAAGACAAAGAAGGATGACCAATCACTGTGATTCAACAACTGTTAAACAGATGGGCAGAGTATTTCGAGGAACTCCTGAATAGGCCGGAGCCAATGAATCCACCGGACATCGAAACAGCACACACAGATCTTCCTATAGATGTCAATCCACCAACGACCGAAGAAATCAGAATGGCCATCAGACAAATCAAGAGCGGGAAAGCAGCAGGACCTGACAATATACCAGCTGAAGCACTGAAGTCAGACACCGAAGTAACTACGAACATGCTTCATCTTCTATTCAAGAAGATTTGGGAGGAGGAACAAGTGCCGATGGATTGGAAAGAAGGACACCTCGTCAAGATTCTAAAGAAAGGAGACCTGAGCAAGTGTGAAATCTACAGAGGCATCACACTACTGTCAATACCAGTAAAAGTCTTTAACAGAGTGTTACTGAACAAGATGAAAGACACAGTAGACGCTCAACTTCGAGATCAACAAGCTGGATTCCGCAAGGATCGGTCGTGCACAGACCAGATTGCGACACTACGGATCATCGTCGAACAATCAATTGAGTGGAACTCATCACTGTACATCAACTTCATTGATTATGAAAAGGCATTTGACAGTGTAGATAGGAGAACGTTATGGAAAATTCTTCGACACTATGGAGTCCCTAAGAAGATTGTCAACATTATCCGGAACTCATACGATGGACTACAGTGCAAAGTAGTGCATGGAGGACAGCTGATAGACGCATCCCAAGTAAAGACCGGAGTCAAACAAGGCTGTCTACTCTCTCCCTTCCTCTTTCTTCTAATGATCGACTGGATTATGAAGACCTCTACATCTGAGGGAAAACACGGCATACAATGGACAGCTCAAAACCAATTAGACGATTTAGACTTCGCAGTTGACCTAGCCCTCCTATCCAATACACACGAACAAATGCAGATGAAGACAGTCAGTGTAGCAGCAGCCTCTGCATCCGTAGGCCTCAATATACACAAGGGGAAAATCAAGATACTCAAATACAACACGGAGAACACTAATACAATCACACTTGATAGAGAAATTCTGGAAGATGTAGAATCCTTCACATACCTGGGAAGCATCGTCGATAAACAAGGAGGGCCAGATGCAGACATACAGGCGAGGATTGGCAAAGCAAGGACAGCATTCCTTCAATTAAAGAACATATGGAACTCAAAACAACTTTCAACCAATATCAAAGTCAGAATCTTCAATACGAACGTCAAGACAGTTCTACTGTACGGAGCTGAAACTTGGAGAACTACAACAACCAACATCAAGAAGGTACAAGTATTTATCAATATCTGTCTACGCAAGATACTCAACATCCATTGACCGGATACCATCAGCAACAGCCTTTTGTGGGAGAGAACCAACCAGCTTCCAGCTGAAGAGGAAATTAGGAAAAGACGAACGAAATGGATAGGACATACATTGAGAAAATCATCAAACTGCATCACGAGGCAAGCCCTAACTTGGAATCCTGAACGGAAGGGAATGCCAAAGAACACATTACGTCGGGAAATAGAAGCGGATATGAAATGAATGAATAAGAACTGGAAAGAGCTGGGAAGGATTGCCCAGAACAGGGTTGGATGGAGAATGCTGGTGAGCGGCCTATGCTCCTCCACGAGGAGTAACAGACGTAAGTAAAGTAAGTTTACTCATGGATAGGATGATAGCAAATGAAATTTAGGTGTCTTCAGAAACACTGTAAATATCGGTTTTAAGCACACACATATGAGTTAACTTTATGAAAAAAATGGAAAGTTGTGTTAGAAAATACAGCTTGTAGTTTTCCAAATTTATAGCAATTAAAGTTGACATTTATTATAGATTAATTTCAACTACGAAGGCATTAAAAATCAGGGAACTTTGAACAACTGTTGGTCTAAAGTTAAGCATGGTGCAAGTTTCAGCTTTTAACCCTGGAGGGTTGCGATCACACATCGATAAGTCTTGTACGTGAACGCGTGTTAATAACTTTTCAGCTATTTCTTATGACTTCAGATTATTTCTACACTTAAATTCGAATAATAGAAAAAAGTTGTGAAAGATGAATAGAAGCTTTACTACACGATTAATCTATGTACAGAAAATTGAGTATATATATATATAGTTTTTGGAGTAAAATTCATCTTTGACAAAGTCCTGGAGACATATTGAATACCGTGCCAGCATATGTGAGTGTTAAACCAAAAACGTTAAACAATCATTCGCACTTTTAAAATTCTCTAAGAAGCTTCTTTTCATTGCTGAAAGGATAAAATTTTCACAACCTTCTCTCTGGTTTCTAAACTTTTTGTTAAGGGATATTTGTGGACTCCTGAAACACGATTGAAAAAGCGACACAGTATTACGAAAAGGTTACGTAATACTCTTTAGTTTTAATGGCTTTCGAGTTAACATAAATCTGTGACGAAGACCAACTTCAATCGAAACTTATCCAAGTAACCTCTGCCATTCAAAAAAATATTGAGCATGTTTATCAACTGAACCGGACACAATTTTAATCAATGAAATATGTAAGCTGGTATATCTAGTGAAGTAGTAACGCCAGGATTAACGGGTCTGACATTTAACCACGAAATCGCAGGTTCTAAACCCACTCCTCCTACAACGATTTGATCTACCGGGTAGTATCACTGGCCATCACAATTCGTGTGAGTCAAAGTTACCCATATAAATTTATACCTGATAAACGAGTCAACTAAGTAAACAGCACACTTGGATGAAATGTATGTAAATCATGAACGACATTGCAAGTTAAAATAAATTTATGAACTGCATTCTGAGGGGATACAGAACGATAATGTACACGTTTACTATAAATCAACAGAATAATCATAGCTCATGTGATGTAGTGTCTGAAATTCCCGTTAAAGTTCTGTATTTGAAAATATTTGAGTCATGATTAGAACATAACTGTTACACAGAATTCCAAAATGATACCTAAATGATTATTGACCAGTACTTGATTTCAATAAAATAAAATAAATGGTTGCAATCGAAGAAGTTCAGAACGTGTGTTACACTTATCCAATACAAAGTGATGCTCCGAGACTGCTTAACAACAGCAGTTCATTTAAGATCCAAGAGTGATTGTAATGGTTAAACGTGTTGACCACTTACATATAAATCGATTCTAATCAATGATAAAATCATAGATCACATATACAAACACTAGCCTGATACGTTTCTATTGATTTTCATTCTGTCAGTTAGCTATCATTCTCGTAACACGGCAAACACTAGATTGAAATACATTTTTAAACCAGGTTCTAAAATAGTTTATATGTGTCCTTACAATGTGTGTCAGCCCAAAAACATTACCAGAATTCATTTCAACGAGGCGAGGGAAAATCAATATGAGGAAAGAAAATCCGATCAAAAATAATGATATCAATACTAGCAGAGAACTTAAATTAAAAATGACAAAAAATGTAACCTGAAATGTAACATGAGAATTCAAAGATAATATGACTCCGAGGATTTAAAGATGATAAAAGTAGAAGCGGTGTGCATCAGCACTAAACTGAGACTTATTTTGAAGTAAGCAAACCATTCACTAATTGGTTAAACCGTATTAAGTCCAACAGTATTGGTAGTCAGTCGATCACTTTGGTAGAATGTTTAATAGGATATAATTAAATACATACAGACATAAGTTTTCTTCAAAGCTTTAAACGTTATTGATATCAAGTTAATATTAAGCTAAATTTTAGATTTCTGGGAAAGAACAGTAAATTTTAATGAGGACATGAACTTCGAATCGTTGAAATGGTCGATTTATATATTGTTATTCAGATAAGTGTAAGTTAAAATAAGAACACTATAGAAAAAGGTGATTGAACCCAAAAGTGACAGTGATCAACAAAATGTGCTAACTATTAAAAATTGTAAAATTAGGATGTAAATGTATGTGTACAGATTTTTAACACCAAATAAACATGCCAATATTAACCAATATACAATTACGTTAAGCGCTCGCGCGCGATGCGGGATCGTGGATGCGCACTGCTGAGGAGTCCCACAATAGGACGAAACGGCCGTCCAGTGCTTCCAGGTTTCCTATCGTGGTCTAGCTTTAATTGACTCATGATCTCAACTATTGAAATTACCATAATATCCACAAAAACCCCTACTGAAATTACGTAAAAGTCAGTATTTCATTTAACTGAAATACATCATTTCGATTTCAAGTCATTAAAAATGTTTTGTATTCAATGAAAATCAGAATCTAAGAAATGTAAACCATGAATTTAATTATGGAACATAATTTACAAAAATATGTAGAGATTTCTATACTAACTTGTCAATTTCATCCAAATAGAACAATCAATATAACTAAATTATTTAGAGAGATCAAGTCCAGTATGTACTAAACAATCTGTAAGTTGACAGTCAGGAAATGTATGAGCTTTATAAATTAAGATAGAAAATAACTCATTCCATGCATTGTTTACAAAGACAACTGCTACAAATAAATACAGAGAATAAGAGATTTTATTTGGACACAAAGGGGCACCAGAAACATGTGCGCCACACAAATCTGATTTGATTTGTGCAAGGGCTATGATACTGCCTGGGTGCCCAAACCGAAGAAGGTGGTTTTCCTAGGTAGCCACACCAGTAGCCTTCGACCTTAAGGTCTGATCCATGAGGCAGTGGAGCAACGTCAGGAGATGCAGTCCCATGGTAGCCGGTAACCGATAATTGGTTCATAGGCTATTTGTTCCCTCAGGGTACTGGAGCCAATGTGCACCATTGCTTTGGAATCAGGGTTTTTCAACTCCCCTAAGTGAACCCTCAGTGTCCACCAACCCGGTTAAAGCGCCGGACATTCGCTTTCCATCCTCTCGATTTCGTAAACAATACCCCAGCCACGAGAAGTCAGTGAGTAGGAATTCCCTGACAGAGGCTATATACGTGTGGCTATGTGAGAGCATTTCGAGAGAGAGAGCGGACCCTCCCCACTCTCGGCCGTACCAGGGCATTTAACATCTAAACTATATACTGATACACATCAACACCTTATTTAATAATTAATATTTTCTTTAAAGTAATATATTTAATCCGAACAATTCAAAAATAGTATAATCTAAAACAGTTATATGAAATGTGAAGTTTTCCAACAAAAAATTATGTTAAATCATAATGTTGATCATATATAACATTTGGATATTCCAACCTTAAACTTCGACAAGGAATCCATGTTTCCGAATTTATAGCATTATCATCATCATCATCTTCATCTTTTAAATTGGATGAATTATCTATCGAAGTGATCATTCCATTATTGGTAGTTGTTTGATTTGACCATATTATAATGAATAAATCATCTCCAGCTGATGCCAGATAGTCACCTGAAGCATTAAACAATGGTTAACAAAGACAGTTTTTTTAATTGGCATTTCATAAGAAAGTTATCGCTCCAATTAGAAATAGACATATATATATAGGGAGGGTAAAACATTAATTGACAAAAAACTGTCAACATACTCAAGCGATTGGACATTCAACATAATACAAGTGAAAACTTCACCAAGGAAATTCTTTGTGTGCAAAACCACGATCCCAATTATGAAAATGTGCATTACTCTGGGAATCTGGAATACTTTGGTTAAATGGTGTAATGAATAATGGTTTCTGAAACGAGTCACACAAAGTAGAAAAGAGCATAGACATAAGATAGTATCAAAATTTCTGGAAAACACCTAGAGCACTGAATAGATTGCGAGTATTTAACGTGTCTTTTCTTAGAAGCCTGAAGATGACTATTTACATGACCTTGCAATATAACTGTATATTTACCTGATAAATATCATGTTTGTAAACTGATATACATTGTTTTACATATTTTGAGCAACAAGTTGTGTAATTATATTGTATAGCTTACAGAACAATAAAAGATTCAAGTGTTTTGTTACCTTGTATTAGTGAAGAGAGTTGTAGGGAAGATATCTGATAGTTATTCATAGGAAAACTTTATATTCGCTATATTCGAATGCCATATATCAATTCATCTGAGACAGTCCGTAAACACCTGAACTGCTAATTTCATTCATTAACACCATTGAAAATGTATCTGACTATTACAACTGTGAATATTCAACTATACATTTCTAACCATAAAACCTGTTTTAATTATCCTTCATCTATAAATGTTCCGTTATAGACAATAAATATAAGACCGAAATATGATATTAATCATTTGTCTACAATTAATAGGTACCTAGATTCTCTAGGTTTAAGTTATTGTTATTATTATTTTGTTTATAGAAGTGCATAAATGTAACCACACCTACAAATTAATGCACATTTTTAATCATTCTTATAAACTAATCAAAACATTTTTAATTCAAGTATACTACTAAGCAATCAGTCTACATTACAAATTACACAGTGAACTTATAATTCTAACATAAAATACTCGACATCAACGATTATCATGCAAAATAGTCGACTGTATTTTGAAAGAAATACTGTAATTACTTGGAATTCTAGTAAAAAGATGTATTTTATGGAAAAAGGTGAGACTCTTTCAGTGAATTATTGAATTCCTTCGTAATATGTGATTTTAAATGAAACGCTATGGACTTCTGACCTAAGCTTATGAACGTTTTAAATCCTATTAAAGTGAATTTGTATTCAATCATATTGCAAAGAAATTTCATAGGTAGCAATGAAACAAATGATTACTTTTTGTAAAGTAGGTAGGATAACTGGGAATATAGAATCATCAAAAAATTAATTTCTGAAAAATTTAATACTGAAATTCATGAATCGATTCAAAGTGAACTTCATTCATTGACTTTTAATGTATGCTTAAATGTATCATTTTAATCAGTATGAAGTTCATTCTTTAATTTCCAATATATCTTCATTTTTTTATTGAGATCATGAACCGATTGATGTTAGACCACCATTGAAAACCTGGAAGCACTGGACGGCCGTTTCGTCCCATTTCGGGACTCCTCAGTAGTGCGCATCCACGGTCCCGCTCGCGGGATTCGAACCCAGGGCCTTCAGTATCGCGTGCGAACGCTTAACCTACTGGACCACTGAGCCGGCCTTCATCCAATGGTGTTAATGTCTAACCTCAACCAATCCACAAAGTTGCGCGACCATCTTACAATGTACTGAGGTAGACACCTGTTTTTACCTGACACGGATTAGCTTCACTGGTCTAACATCAATAGGTTCATGATCCCAACCAAAAACTTAACAATCTCCACAACCCCTAAACTGATATCTTCATTTTATTAATTAATGCACTATGACTTACATTCTGTGAAAATTTCTCTGTTCGTAATTTAAAATCACGTTTATTAATATTATAACACATTTATTTATTTCCTTTTCACATTAATTCGTGTTTCAGTTTTGAAACCAGTTGGTTGAAGTGAAGTGAAGAGTCCAAGAATAATAAGTCATTGAAGAAGACATAATATATAAAGACTGAGAAAATATAATGTATTTTCCAGATGAATAGGTAATTAATACTAGGTTGAACTTAATCTATTAAATGAATGTGATACCACTCCCACAAAATACTACGAATAATATCAAGTTAATTATATTAACCTAAAAAATAAATTTATCTGTTTTAATCAAGAGAATTACTCTGGGAGTTAACCACAGATGCCTGAAGGTGAAATGTTACAATCGATCAATGAATAGTATACACAAAAACTTTACCTGAAGGTGACCAACGAACAACATTGACAGGTTTTTCATGACGTTTTAATGAAGCCAAATAAGTTAAATGTTCGAATTGTTTGGAACCAGCTTTTTGTGTTGTACAAGGTGTATTAACACCAGGATCTTTTTTAGTTACCGTTAGATTAGTAGTGCATTGAGACTCAGTTTGCTTTGTTGTTGTTTTCAAAACTCCAGGTAACCAATTCAACTGAACACGCCATAAACGAACAACATTATCACCGCCAGCTGTTGCCAATCTTGTCCAATTCAAATCAGGATCGAGATCTTTAAAATTTTTAACATTTAATTCACTTAAAGGACTACGATTAGATGTTTGATTGCTACATTTATTATTATTATTATCACTTATTAGTTTGAGACGATTTTGTAAATCACATGAATATATTGGTAGTGTTTCATGCCAAGCTATTTCAGGAGTTAAAAAACGCATCTCTGAATTTAACGGGTATTATTCTGAAAAAGTATAAAACATAGGTAATAACAATAATGTTAGTAATCTAAAGCTTTCTTTGTGTTTCTATAACAATTTGATACACCTCAGTTTTCTTACTTATTGGAGAAATGCTATTAAATAAATGTTAACGGTTTAATGCTTTAAACAATCTGAATGAATTTCCGATTAAATAAGATAAATTTAGATATTTACATTTATTTAGTGAATTACACCGATTAAAATTACTTACACTACACTTTAAGAAAAGAATAGACCGAATACAATCATAGTGAATACTCTGGATAAAAGCAGTAAATCAATTGACGAGACTGTGAACCTTCATTGATTAAGGAAAAAAGAGTATCTATGATATAGATCAAAATCGGTTTTCACAGTATACTTGTCTTTATTTCGTATTTTCCTTTAAACCATCAAGCAGTATTATTGTATGGACCGCTTTTCATCTTGTTTCATCATACATTCACTCATTCGTTATTCACTCTTACGATAAATAATGTAACATGTGATAACATTAAACCTGTAAACTATTGTACTATATTCTACGTTGTTAATCTCTGTATATTGGAAAAAATAGAGGGAAATTAACCAATACCTTTTGATTTTCGAAAGCAAACATATTTTTTACAAATATTAAATTGAAAAGAAAAAGTAATCCCTTTGTTTTTTCTTTTCAAATAAACATCAACTACGTGGTACAGTCACTTATATCCCAGGAGGGATAAAAAGATTACGTAAGTAAGTAAGTATTATGGAGCATCAATTAACTTAATTCTTTGTTCAACATATATATATATATATATATATATATATATATATATATATATATATATATATATATAATGATTTATAATGTTTCACATGACATAGATATTTTTTCTTGCTTTAACAACTTCCGTTTATTTATTACAAGATATCTATTTTCAACAAAAAGAAATATAAAAGATATAATCAATACTTAAAGTAAATATTAGATTTTTAAAAAAACTTTAATCAAATGATCATAAGTCACTAAATCAATAGAGAGAAGAAAAAAACAACAACATAGAAACATAAAAATTCATAGTACAAATGAGTTGGAAATAAAATATCAAATGTGAAATGAATTCATGTTAAACATAAATCATAAGTCAAATTTATTTCGATTGAGATCATGAACCGATTGATGTTAGACCACCATTGAAAACCTGGAAGCACTGGACGGCCGTTTCGTCCCATTTCGGGACTCCTCAGTAGTGCGCATCCACGGTCCCGCTCGCGGGATTCGAACCCAGGGCCTTCAGTATTGTGTGTGAACGCTTAACCTACTGGACCATTGAGCCGGCAGTCATCCAATGGTGTTAATGTCTAACCTCAACCAATCCACGAAATTGCGCAACCGTTAATTAAAAGCTATGTAAGAGGTATGGTGAATGTTAATTTATATAGAAATCTTTGGAGATAATATAACGATACACAATATTGTTTGACACAATAATGATCATTTATTATTTGTTGAGAGTTGGGTTTATTATCACTCTGGTCAATGGATAATTCAGATAAACCTTAAAACTAAATGAAATTTTGGTTTCTGATTAAAGTATACCATTTTCAATTAGTAGGTCATATATTCGTAACAGGATATATGAACTATAGTTTGGGTGATCCCTATAACTAAATTATGACTAAGAGCTAAATACACAAATTCGTATTTGAAAAATGAGTCACAATATTGTTGTTAGAATATAAACCACATCTTTTTAAAATACATAATTCAAACCACAAACCATAAAAACAATTGTAGTCTTTTTCTATTGCGATAAAAAGGAGATTTCAAACAACGGAAAATGATAAATGTCATCGTTCGTGATTGTCACACACTGAACTTTTTATAATAAATCAAACCTACAGGATGAACATATTCAAGCAGTAAATCTAAAGTTTTATCGAATAAAATTTAATCTTTTCTTACAAACATAAATTATTAGTACACGTATCACAAGGTCTACATACAATCCTTCAAATCGAATTTCAGGTAATCAGGACACACTGACCGTGAAAAAAACTTAGCATTTAATAAAAGCAGCTAGTCAAGCGCTAATTTGCATAGAAAAATTAAAATTCATTGTCATTCATTTAGGTATTCAGATCAGCAAATCTGCAGAAACTGTCATGTTCGTGCACCAAAATGTGAACTAAACTATACTTCACTAGCCTTAACAACAGGTCGTAAGGGAAGGTTTATTTTCATTCGTAGAATAATCATTGATAACTTAGTGGGTAGCTATGATATATGTATAATGTTATTTCTAATTTTAAAAATCTATTCAAGACTGATGAGTAAAATTTTTTTTGATTTACTAAAATTGAAATATTCGGTAAAATGTGGGCGAAATATCGATTTAGAGCTGATTTTACACGTTGTGAGTAACAAAAATTATTCCTAGTGGTCAATAATCGTTATATTAACAACTAATATAGTGAACAGTAAGACAACCAACACAAACAAACCGAACAGTAAGATAGTTTCGATGACAGAACTAATGTACTCAATTTATAAGTTGTAAGGTGGTTTAGACATTAAAAATTTACTGCACAGATATTTAGGACAGTAAATTTCTAATATAACATTTAAGAAATGGAATGTACTAGAAATTGCTTCATGTTGCAGCATAGCACTGTAGTGCTTAATTTAAGACCACTCACCGATTCGCACTCACAACACAGTACAAAATTGGACCTAGAACCCTCACACCTCTATTTCGTTAGAACATTGAGTCGAAATTTAATAGAATATATTTTTAACGTCATTTTATGATATAATGAATTTTTGTGTCACTCTAAAATCAATAAACTTCGTATTCATAAGTCGATGCTTCAAACTGATATCTTTGTGATCAAGATTACTTATAAAGGGTACAAAATATTATCAGGAAAGCGCCATGATTTATTCCCAACTGAGATGGATACTGATGCTCCAATGCGATACATTCCCACATTCTACAAATCCACGATAATTCAGGATCAGACAAAAAAGAATGGTAAGTATTTGAAATACATCATCGCCGTTATTCAGGAATGTAAATGACAAATCTCTGTTGAGATACAAGGATCCCATTAGACCTACATTACCATGTAGTCAAAGGTTTTGGTAAAGTTGGACAGTGACTAGCAGTGGAATCCAGAAAAAGTGTCTCGTCCAATTTGGGATCCGACAGCTGGATGCACCTCCGGCCCAACATTAATATTAATATTGAAACCCAAACCCACTACCTTTTGCTTTAAACGTTAACGAGTTATACGCTAAGCCACTAACTTATTTAAAAGATGCGAAGGCATCGATAAGAGTTTGAAGTATCTATTGTTATCATTCAGGGCTGAAAATTTCAAGTAGGCACTTGAACAATAATTAGGTGAAAAGAATGTGTATAGTAAAATGGTTTAGTGTATATTCCACATTGAAAATATAAACTGAGTGTAAATAAACCCAATTAACTTGCTACAGCCTATATATATATATATATATATATATATATATATATATATATATATATATATATATATATATAAGGTTTAACAGTGGAACTTAACTGATCGAATACATTCAAGGAAGAAAAAAAGATCCAAATAATAAATATTTAAGAAAGTTGAATTAAACTAAAATTTGATATTTTGTTAAAACATACATTTATCTATCAATTTATCTATAGAGTAAGTTAATTATTTTGAACCAGTATTTAACGAAAGCACAAAAAAGTGTTTTACGATACACTTCATAAAGTAATAAACGTACAATCACACATACACACATTCACACCTTTTTCATATAATAAAATGATAATCAAACATATCAACGCATACACAAATGTAGATTTTTTAAGAACATCACAATAAATAATAATTATCATTATTATTAGTAGCAGTAGTAGTAGTATAATGGATGATACTAATTATTTATTAAAGATATGAACTATTATTTCATTTTGTGTTCAAAATGTTAAATAAACAAAAACTTCCATTATTTATGCATGTTGATATCCTTCACCAAATTGAATGTTTCAATATTTAAAAGAAGCAAAAAACCACAGCGACATTACATCACAGTAATAAAAACACAGAAATATGTATGAAATATGAATTTAAAAAGAAGTTCTACAAAATATAACAGACAGTATAATATATTGGGTAGAGATATTTAGCTAAATAAATAAGTAGTAATGACACCCATTTGTTCATCTAAACAAAGAATAAGAGAGAATTGAATGATTTATAAAGCGCATACTGAAGAGACAAAACAAGTTGACAAAATGGCAGTAAGATATTTTTTCACTAATACTAATACTACTATTGTTACTGACAGCATTTACTGTACGTTAAAGACATACAAGAAAACACAAAAAATGCCATACAAGGAAAATAAAGGATTGTGAATAAAATGTACACATATCATGTATCGCCGAGCTGTCTTTTTCGTTAATTGATTAGAGTTCAAGATTTGAAACAATTATAAGTAAACACCTGATTACGAAAATATTGATTTAGATGTACACACCCACAGATACATACATACATAGATAACAGTATGGGTCAGAAAAACAAGGAAAATAGATGAAAACACTTGGTAAATTTGTAGATAAAAACGCTTTACATTTTAAAGAAATATCTAACCAATCAACTGAACAGCGAAAACACTCACACTTATCATCATATCAGTGAGTGAACACTTGTTAGAACCGAAACAAATAGCAGGACGCAGTGCATCATCATAAGCTATGATGAAATATATATGGAAATTTTCTGTTTTCCTCGCGAAAAACCCGCCATTTTTTATATGTATGTGTGTTTAAGCATATCATCAATGATATCTTTATAAAAAAATAATCCAACAGTCGAGATTTGATGAAGAACGCGAAAATAACACAAAAATAATGCTTAGTGAAGCTATACACAAATTTGAAAGGTATGTTACATAAGTATGTAACATGACAAAAGGAATGAAGGTTTAAATGAAAACAGCATACACACACAGAAATCGTTTACATCAAAAGTGATTACAAAGCGGCAAAATACACTTCATGTAATGATTGTTTGTGTACACACGAAAAAAGGTTTCGAATTCAATTATTAATTATGACAACTTGGAGGTGTAATACATCGAGCATCGTCTTCTTCATCCCCATCTTCCAAATCTAATGGTTTTTGAATAATATCTTTGTCATCAATCGAATAAGTTGAAAATCGTTTCTCTGATGAAGATATTCGATTATTGTCAGCAGATAAAGAAGGGATTGTATGATAATAGTAAGGATTTTGTTGTGGACTTACAGCAGCTGGGTAAGTTGGCTTTACAAAATGATCACTATTTAAAGATGATGTTGTTGGTGTAGAAGGAGAGTTTGAAGTATGAACTGAATGTGCCTCTGAAGTGTTTACATTACTGATTGGAGAGCAACAACGACCAGAACAATTACGTAAGCTAACCACATGGTTAGGATTATGCAATGAAGTTGAGACTAACCGACCACTTGTTACATATGTAGAATCAGTCGAAAAAGGACTAATTAATGGTTGACCACATTCCCGACAAACTCGTGTACCTGAATGACTACTCACGCCAGCAGCTACAGCAACAGCAAATGCATGGCCAGGACCATACAATGACGAAGATGTACCACCACCAGATGTCCAAGGAGCAGGAACAGGGGGTTGAAATGGAGATGTACAATCAGAAATCGTTCTTAGGCGAGTAGAACGACTAGCTTCATTAAACTGTCTATT